CGTTCAGCAAGGACAGCCGCGTGAAGAAGCCACGGTCCTCGTCCCTTGAAGAAGGCGAGGAACGGGAACACCAAAGTAGTCTGTCAACAGCTGACGACGACGACGACGATGAGTATGATGATCATGATGTCCTGCAGTCGTCGTTGCCGTCGTCCGACCATGATCATCACCATCACCATCAACAATCGAAGCAGAAACAGCAACAGCAGCAACAGCAGCAGCAGCAACAAAAACATCAACAAAAGCAGCTGCTGAAAGAGGAGGCAGCTGAGCAGCAGAGCACCTCTTGTTCAGAGGAGCAGCGGCAGACAGCAGCAGCAGAAGACTGCAACAGCAGCAGCCCTGAAGGCAGAACACTTGCTGAAGAAGAGGAGGTGTCACCGATCTCGAAGAATAAGTTCCTGACGGAAACTTCAACGCTCTCAACCAAGGGCTCTGGCACCTTCAAGGCCTCCTCCAGTTCGAACTCCTCATCTTCTTCATCGGGGAATTCCTCTGGCGGCGTCACCACGACCAGCACCAGCACCAGCACCACCACAACCGATGAGACGCTCTCCAATTCGAACTCCTTTTCCTCTGACGGCCTGACGATGAGTGCCAGCAGTGCCACCGCCTCGCCGGAGAAGGCCATAGTGAGTAGTCATCAGGAGGAGGAGCAGGAAGATGAAAAATCTGTTTCTGCTGATGTTCCACCTGAGAAATCCTCCTCTTCCAGCGAACAAAGGACGACGACAGCGACGACAACAAAGCAAAAGTACTCGCCCGAGCAGTTTTGCCACTACTACGATGAGAACTACGATAGTAAACAACAGCAGCAGCAGCAGCTGTTGCAGCAGCAGCAAAACGAAGAGGAAGAGGAGAACACGTACGAAAACATTGGCGAAACGCTGGCGAATCACTACGGCCAAAATCACCATCATCACCACCAGCAGCACCACCGTCACCCGCTGAGCAAGTCCGAAGAGTCGAACCTGTACAATCTGATCGAGGACTCCAAGTCCTTTGACAGCATCTCACTGGAGGATACGAGTAATGTCTGCTTCTCTTCCAGAGACTCAGTGCACTACTCCACTTCGAGCAAACACAGCCAACAACAGAATCAACAAAATCAACAACAAAATCATCAACAGCAGAATCAGCAGCAGTACATTGACGCGCCGAGCGCCCTCCGCCTCGCCAAGCGGCTCTACCACCTGGAGGGCTTCCAGAAGGGCGACGTCACGCGGCACCTCAGCAAGAACAACGAGTACTCGCGGACGGTGGCCGAGGAGTACCTGCGCCTCTTTGACTTTGCCGGCCTCTCGCTGGACGAGGCCGTTCGACGCTTTCTGGGTCGCTTTCACCTGACCGGGGAGACGCAGGAGCGGGAGCGGGTGCTCGTCTACTTTTCGAAGCGGTACGCCGAGTGTAATGAGGAGGAGGATGACGGTCACAACCTCCAGCGAAGCTTCGCCTCGGTGGACGCCATTCACACGCTGACCTGTGCGCTGATGCTGCTCAACACTGACCTGCATGAGGAGGTAAGCTGAGGGTTTGAGGGTTTTTTAGAAGGTTGGGAGTAACTGGTTGCATTCATTCTCACTCCTCTCTCTCTTGCAGAACATTCAACGGAAGATGACCTGCGCCGACTTTATCCTCAATCTGGCGGGCCTCAACGACGGCGGCGACTTCTCGCCGGTCCTCCTCAAGGCGCTCTACCACTCGATCAAGCAGCGGCCACTGGGCTGGAATGAGTAAGTTGAAAACAAAAGGAAAACTTTGTGTTTCGAAAACTCATCTTTTTATTCCTTTACTAGCGATGATTTAGATAACGGCAGGCCGAATCACCACCGAAACGTCTTCTCCAAGATTACCACCATCTCCAAGTCCATCACGGGCAATGGAAACGGCGGTGCTGGTGCTGCTGCTGCCTCGGCTTACGCGACCCTGCCGCGCAAGTTTCTCACCGGCGGAAGTGCGAACTCCTCCTCAGCCTCGATGATGAGCAGCAGCGCAGCCAATTGTTCCACCCTCTGCTCCAACGCCAATCCCTTCATCGAGCCGCCCAATCCCGCCGCCTTTGCCATCGAGTACAAGAAGGGCTACATCCGCCGGAAGTGCTGCTACGAGGCGAACGGCAAGCGGACGGCGCTGGGTCGGCGCGGCTGGCGGCTCTTCTACGCCACTCTGCGCGACCTGGTCCTCTACCTGCACCGAGATGAGAACGGCTTTCGAAAGTCGCAGCTGGGGGCGAGCCACGCCAACTCGATACGGATTCACCACGCCATTGCCGCCGTCGCCGGCGACTACCCCAAGAAGAAGTTTGTCTTTCGCCTGGTCACCGCCGACTGCGCCGAGTACCTCTTTGAGACGAGGTGAGGGAAATGAAATTGAGGAAAAGGTTTTTAGGCGAGGTTTTTTTTACTGATCATTTTGTTGCCCCTTTCCTTTCCCTTCTTTTCCAGCGACTCTCGCGAGCTGCAGTCCTGGGTGGACACCATCAACACCACCGCCGCTTGTCTGTCCGCCCCGGCGCTGCCCTCTGCCGTCGGCTCCACCGACGGCCTCTCCTCCTCTTCTTCAAGTTCTTCATCCTTTCGTCGAGAGCTGCTTCCCGTTAGTCATACGAAGCTGTCTCTGGTAAGTGGGGAGGATGATGAATGATCTATCGACGTCGGCAAAAACTCTCTTTTTGCTGATGTTGTCAGTTTTGAATGCGGAGGTGTTTAGTGGTTATTAATAAACGGATAACTTTTTCCCCTTTTCTTCTCCAGCGAGACCAACTGGCCGACCAGGAGCGGAAGCTGCTGTCGCTGCAGCGCGAGCTGGAGCAGCTGCTGGAGAAGACGGGCCGCCGGTCGACCAACAAGATCTACCACCGGGACTTTGTCGAGCGGGAGAGCTACCTCCAACATGAGGTGAGTGGGGGGGGGGAAGTTTTATTTACCTAAAAAATTGTTTGCTCACTCTTTATTTCTCAGGTAACACGATACCGAACCTACATTGCCGCCCTAAAGTGGAAGCTGAAGCAGCAGCAGCAGCAGCATCAGTCAGCGCCCAGCGAATGCGGCGGAAAGTCCAGTGATTCTTGCGGCGGCAGCAGCAGCGGCCACAGCGGCCTTTCCTGATGTTATTGGCGTAGTGTACTTTAATTTTTTTCTTTCACTTGCATTTCTTCGCCACCAGCACTCTTCTTCTCTTCTCTTCTGTTTCTGCAATTAATTGTGATTTTATGTTTGTTTGTTTTGTTGTTTTCTTTTCTTTGCTTTTTTCCTCTCCATCTTCTTTTCTCTTTTTCCTCCACCACAGAACGTCTTTGCACTTCTAGCGCGCTTGAGCATGCTTTTTCTTTTTCTCTATTCATTCTCGATTCTCGATTCTCGGTGTCTCAACCCGCGCCAACCAAGTTACTTACTTACCGAAGCTTTTGTATCTCTCTTTCTCTTTCTCTAATTTATTTATTTATCTCCGCAGTTTTTCAGCCTGAAAATGCTCTTAACACGCCCGCACTTTTCTAGAAACTTGCACCCCCCCCTCCCGCTTAACACAACAGCTCTAACTTTTTTTCTGTTATCTTTTTTCTCCATTGCGCTTTCTTTTCTTTTTCTTCCTCTTTTTTTCTACTCCGTGCTTACCCACACACACACACACACCGCCTGTCTTTGTGATAACTCTGAAACACCCAACAACAAACAAAAGAACCGTACAAATATTTTTCAGACGTATTGACTTTTCAGAGTGCACTTTTCAGTACCAAAGTACCAGTCTGTTCGTTCACAGGTGAGCGAACACCACTGTCAAAAATGGGATCCGGGAAGCAATATCGAAACCATATTTGCATACCTCTTTTGCATACATTTTGATGTTGTTTGTCTCCATATTTTAGCATTTTAAGAGGGTGAGAAGAAGTGACTACCGGTTACCTCCACCACCACCACCAAAAGACTAATTGCACTCTCTTATTTTNCTACTCCGTGCTTACCCACACACACACACACCGCCTGTCTTTGTGATAACTCTGGAACACCCAACAACAAACAAAAGAACCGTACAAATATTTTTCAGACGTATTGACTTTTCAGAGTGCACTTTTCAGTACCAAAGTACCAGTCTGTTCGTTCACAGGTGAGCGAACACCACTGTCAAAAATGGGATCCGGGAAGCAATATCGAAACCATATTTGCATACCTCTTTTGCATACATTTTGATGTTGTTTGTCTCCATATTTTAGCATTTTAAGAGGGTGAGAAGAAGTGACTACCGGTTACCTCCACCACCACCACCAAAAGACTAATTGCACTCTCTTATTTTATTTATTAATACGATGGTAATCGCCCAAGTGGTCCTCTCCCCTTTTGACTGCCTAATCGCCGACAAATAAGAGAGAGAGGTGTCAGCGATTACTGTGTGAATTTGCGTTCACAGCGAGCTCACGAGCAGCGGCAGTTTTTCCTATTTGGGGATTGACCCCATGAGAAAAACAGAAGAAAAAGAAAGGCTGAAGAGTGGGCCAATCAATTAGACGGACCATTGAGGAGAAGTTGTAGTAGGTTGACCGATGTGCTGATGACGAGATGATAATAGAATGGAAAAAAAGGCAGAAAGGCGAATGTGAAGCGATGCGAAGCAAACGGAGGAGACGGCTGCAGCTGCTCAGACACACGCCACTGAATTAGAATGGAAAAAAAAGAAGAAAAGAGGAGCAGCAGCAGCAGCAGCAGCAGAAACAGTCGATAGCACTGATTGGCGCCAACTACCATTTTTGCCCATCATTACCATTACCAGCCGAAAGTAGATCAGCAGGGGAGAGAGAAGAGGAGGATGGAAAAAGCAGAGCTTGTTTTTTGTTCTGAAGAAGTCGGTGGTGGTGGTAGTCGTAGTTCAGTCAGTCGAACGGTACTGTTCGAAGCAGAGGCGCAATGGCCTTCTTTTCGGTCCATCCACGTTTGTTGCTGGTGCTCATTCACATTTTAGGCAGCTTTTCATCCTCTTCTTTATCGTCACCTGATACCTTCTTCCAGCGACGAGTCCTCCTATATGGACCGAACAACAGCTCGGGCACCTTTGGACTGATGGGCACCGCCACCACGCCCACTACACAAGGTCAGCAGCCTTTGGAGGAAGTGGTAGCGGCGGCGGCAGAGCCTCGAATCGGTGCTCCCACTCTTGATAAGCTAGGTAAGTTTAGACAACTTTTTGGTTACCTTTTTAGTAATACTTTTTCCTCCTAGACCTAAGATTAGAAGCGGGCGCCAAACGCTGGCAGGCGGCGCTGAACGCCTCTCTCGGCGATATGACGCCCACTACTTCAACCACGACTTCGACCATTTCAACGCCAATCAATACGACCTCAGTCGAAGTGAATCACCTTCTGCAGCCACCACCACCTCCTTCTGCGTCCAATCTGCTGAAGGCCAATGAGATTGCCCACTCGGAGCCGCTCAAAACTTATGGTCATAGCCACAGCCAACACCACCACCACCACCATCATCACCAGACACAAAATCACCACCATCCTCATCACCATCGAACTTCCTCCTCATCATCATCAGCAAAAAAGAAGAAGGTTCAGGTACCCTTTATTAAAACTCTAAACTCCATTTCGAACTTACTATCCCTTCCAACCCTAGATCCCAAAGCTGGACGCCGAAGAAACTGTCCTAGACGAAGACTCCCTCGACCTTCCACCGCTGGAGTTCGACGATGACCCGGACCTGGACGGAGGCCTGGCGGGGAGCAGCCAGGCGCCCGCCTGCGCCACCGCCAGCGGCAAGCACTACTGCA